TGTAATCTTCACCAGCACATGTAATCTTTGTTAGAGAGTAATTCCGTCATTCCCAGTTCACAATAGTCCTGCATGCGATGTTAAACATGGCAGTTTGTTTGTGATTCAGGTTGCTGAAACAATTTGCTCAATTTGAGTTTCGTCGGGCTTTCCTTTGTCCGCGCTTCACTCTCTCGTTAGTCCTTTTCTTTCTGAATGTGTCACTCTCGCGTTTCCGTCAGGATCGGGTTTCAAAAGCACGTCAATAATCAAGCGCATGTTATTATCATGAGCTCAAGAAGTTTGTTATTTCAGATATTGACACGTACGCGAGCTTAAGCAAGAAAGCGAAACCGCTCGCGCTTCAGGCTGGCTCGTAAAAAACTAAAGGGCTCAGGGTGGCTTTGTGGCTGTTTATTGAGACGACGACAAGGTTTGTTTAAGCTCGGGTCGACCATGGCTCGTTATTATATGTATTATTATATGTATGTAAAGCGTTTAATAATACATATAATATTTTAATACATATAACATTATTATATGTATATAAAGCGTAAATATATATATATATATATATATATATATATATATATATATATATATATATATATATATATATATATATATATATATATATATTTATACAACAGTTCTGTCTGGTTCTCAAATCTGATTGGCTGATAGCTGTGCGATATTCTGCAATATCAGAACTCCTACAGCCTCTTTACCCTTTGTGTATTACTCCGCCCAGATACAACCAGCAAAAAGCAGACACTACAGATCTAAATGTTAATAGATGCACACTCAATTTTTTAACTGTCAGCTAATGATTTGAATCCGGAAGAAAGTAGTTCCTCATACAAAAGGGTTTTTGAGACTCTCCATGTTTGATTTTGTTTTTATATACACAATTATGCCGTCAAACTGTTGTATAAACGCAGTATCACACTCGTAGCAGTGCGATATGGCTGTATATCGGCACTGGTGGAGCCACTAAGGCACCAACCACCAACGCACGCCTCCCACCAGTGCCGATATACAGCCATATCGCACTGCTACTCGTGTGATATTGCTTATATATATATCACTTGCTTTTATATATATATATTTACGCTGTATTCTCGGCTGTGTATTTTAAACATGGGGGTACCTTTTCTTGGTTTGGTACTCTTTTGAAAGGTTGCCGTAAAAGTTGTACGGTACGGTACGGTTTGGTACGTCTTTTGATGGTGGAAACGGCCATAAAAGCGTACCAAACCAAACCGTAGTTTACCACTCAGTGGAAACGGGCCATTATTTATCAGGGGTCGCCACAGCAGAATGAACCGCCTCTGTATTATTTGATTTAAATGAAAATAAATGGAAAACTGATGTTCGAAATGAGCTGCTTTTACATTTATTTTTTAGTCATTCATTCATTCATTATAATTTATTTAGTTAAGTTGCAAGTAAATTGCAACCTTATTTTTTATTTATTGTAAGATTATGTACCTCACAATGACCTCACCACTGAGTATTTCCAGGAAATACAAATAATGAAATAAAATATCAATAAAAGTCAAGGTTGTTCGATATTCCTGCTTGTTTTGTTCAGGGAAACATTGTGCTGGCTGCAGAATCAGTGTCGGAGCAGAGCCAGTGGGTGGAGATGCTGCAAGAGTCCGGAAAAGTGTGAGTGACCAAAATTATAACACCACAAAATTAAAATTCTTTTTATGAAGGTATTTTATATTTAAAACAGTTTGTTTGCAATGTTTTATACAGTTTATATTCATTGATTTATTTTCTTTAAAGCACATGGAAGAACGCACAGCTGGGCGAAGCTATGATTGAGAGTCTTGAAGCTCAAGGGTTACAACTTGCTAAGGAAAAGCAAGAATACCTTGGTATGACTTTTTTCTTTTTTCATTCACTTTTTAAAATAGTAAACATACAATACATTTTAATGAGATCCAGACTGTTAAGAGTGACCTGTTCTGTCTGTGTTGATTTTGGTAGATAAACTCATGGAGGAAACTGAGGAGCTGTGCTTGCAAAGAGAACAGAAAGCTGTAAGTTTTCTAATATGGATAAATTTACACCCGCAGATGTTCAATTCTTTAGTTTATTACAAATACAGTTGAAGTCAGATTTATAAGCTTTCTGTGCATTTTAAAAGTGATTGGTGAATTAATACGTCTGTGCATTCATGTGATTGTATCTGTGATTTGTAAGGAGCTGGAGAGACTGAATCAGTTGCTGGAGGAAGAAAAGCAGAAGTTTGAGGAAGTGGTCCAAGAGCTGAGAACAGAACAAGAGCAAATTAAACTGTAAGTCTTTGGGCTCTATTTTAACAACCTAGGCGCAAAGTCTGAAGTGCAGGGTGCTTTTTGCTATTTTAAGGATGGAAAAATATGCTCTGCGCCGTGCATGGTCCAACAGGGTTGAGCTTATGCTCTTAATGAGTTCTGGGTGTGTTTTGAGAATAAAACCAATCAGAGTCTCATCTCCCATTCCCTTTAAGAGTCAGTTACGTCGAGCCATGGCCGGACTTTGTAAGTGTAAAAAGTGAACACTTCACTAACAAGAAAACAGTTAAACAGCATCTGCAGTATGAGGATAAAGAATGAGCCTCCTCCATTCGGCCTTTTTACTTTCACTTTTAATTTGTTTCGTGGATAAGGAAACGTGTTGGACGCACTCACTGAAGACATCCATAAGCCTACACAATTAATTTTGTTTTTTAAGCGCAAAAATTTGTTTCAAAACTATTTCTAAATTCAGTTCTAATTTCCAGCAAATGAATAAATGAACAATAATAACAAAGTGTGGTCAAAAAACTGAGTTATATCCAAACACATGATTCTTCTTGTTCTTCTCTTATATGTCCCATATAGTCCAAAACCTGACAGGTATACAAATCTCAGCTTGTTTTTAGTAAAGCAAATATAAATATGCATTTAATAAATAATACAATTTTTTTTTTTGATTCGGACATGCCTTTAATGCTTTTGTGCCCTGTGCTTTAGACTTTGCGCCTAGATCGTTAAAATAGAGCCCTTGATCTCTTTTTTTTTTTTTTGTGATCAACGTTATATTGACTTTAGATTAACAAAACAAAAAGACATACAAACAAACTGGGGAGGGGGAGCAACAGACGTATCAACAATTTTCAATCTGAAAGATTTACATTGACAAAAAAAAACACTTTACATTGTCATTCCTTTAGATAGCCCAAAATGCTGGAAGAAAGGCATTGCCATGCATCAATGGTACTAGGTCTAGCCTTATTCATTTGTGCTATTGTAGCTTCACAAGTCACTATTTTAAAGAGCCAATGAATCCAAAATGTTTTTGCACGCAGTGTGTGCGGAGAAAAACAATTTTGTATGACTGTAAAACCAGCAAACAGCATTCTCTTCTTTAGTGTACTTGTACAGAAATTAGTATCTTCATTGAGAAGACATAAACCAGGATTAGACCCATAATCAACTTGTAGTAAAAAGGACAAAACAGAATTTACTTGAGACCACAGGACGGCAACAATTGGACATTTCCAAAACATATGAAGAAAATTATCCGAGGATACAGTGTTACAGATATAACAGTTGTAGTTAGACTGCAGTTTCATTTTAAACCTTTTATAAGGAGTTATGTATGCTCTATGTATAATTTTGAAATGGATAAGACGGTGAGCTAAGTTTTCAGAGGTTGAGATTAGGTTAGACTACACACTGGCCCAGTCAATCGAAAAATCTGTTAGTTCACGATTCCACATAAGTTTGATAGAAATAGGCTTTGAAGTGTGATCATTAAGTTTGCTATGTATTACCGAAACAGATGGTCGACCTGAGGGTGGTGAGATCCAATCCCACTGCCATTGATCTCTTTATAATAAAAAAAAACAAAGTAATAGAAGTAATAAAAAAGTAATAAAAAAAGTGTTAAAGAGACTCTTAAAATTTATAAATAAATTGTTACAAAGTTTTGTGCAATGGTAAAGTGTAAATGCTGAAAAATCAAGGCAAACTTTAAGATGTAAATAATAACACTAAACCTCAAACTATGTAAACAACACAATTTTGATAATCAAATCTGAGCTTTCAAGTTAAGGAACCAGCCATCATTACAAAATTTGAAGCAGGATGACTACAATACCCCCATGCTAAAAAAAAGCTTTCAGATGGGGTGCTGGTGGCTGGGATGCACAAGAAAAGAAACCAAAAAGCCACTCTGATGACATCCTTACATTTTTTTTTATTTACAATCTCTGCAAGCCAGTGCACTCATTTTCACGTGTGTTGTTATTCTGAACTGAAGTGACAATCACAACCCAACATTTACACGTGAGCGCGTGGTTTCCTTCACCATTTTTAATGCGCTTTGCGTACATGCTCCCCTGTCATCTTTATGTAACTAGGCAACCATCAACCAACTCAGAGGAGGATAAATGGACAAACCATTGCAGCAGCTCTGATACAAGTTTATGAAGAAAATTAAAAAGCACTGCAGTGTTTGGGTGTGCCGTGTTGGTAATTATCCTACCGTTAATACTGAAATGTGTAAATTCCATACAAAGTGTGAAGCAGATTGGTTAGTACTCACATGAATAGCAGTGTGCTTGCGACATTCGGAAAGTTTAGATGTTTTTCAGCTGTAGGTGTAACTGGAAAATCCCAACTGCCTCTATTGGAAATAGTTCCTTTTACACATTGATACCGGTAAATATATGGAAAATTTCCGGAACGACTTTACCGGTAAATTTAAAAAAAAACGTTGTTCACACAGGCAAGGACGTTACGGAATTTTTTTCGCAAAAGAGAAAATCCATTCCAAAATACCGGTAAATTCTGACATCATTAACCATAAATGACCTCTAAACGGCTGCGCTTGTATTTGTAAACATTTGACTACATCACAAACTTTTTGGATGGATCAGTATTGTGAACATATACATAACACAGAGATGTACATGATATGGGTGTGTGCTGGCGCTCACGGGCTGTTTCCCGGGCACTCGCAAAGCTTGAAGGTAAACAAACAACGGCTTATCATAAGCATCTTATCGATAAATATTAACACGGTTGGCATTAAGATGAACATATAAACGTTATCTGACTAATATCTAGCAGTTAAATGTGTCTGGAAAAATATTCAAAGGCTTTTATTCTCATAAACCGCGAGGATGTGAATATGTCTGACTGTACTGATTGGCTACAGTAGACGTCTCACGTCAGCACGTTCTAGATGTGCGTGTGCTCTTTCCGGCAATCTTCCGGCATTCACACAGTGCAGCATTCCAGCAAACAACTACTCTTTCCGGAAAATAGCCAGAACAAATTTACCGGTATTTTCAAAAAGGGCCTGTTCACACATACACAACTTTCCGATAAATTGCCGGTAATTTTCCGAAAAGGTCTGTATGTGTAAAAGGGGCTAATGACAAACTTACACCTAAAGCTTATTGGCATTGCTTCCAAGGTGCACATTCAGTGGCTACATTTTAATAAAACTATAGCGCTTCATAGCGAAACTTCATACTGAATTTTTTTAATCATTATTGACAATGGTGTACAGTCAATAAATACTGATACCGATTTTATTGCCAAGCTCTAGTAGAGAGCTCCCTTTAGTGGATCTGTCATCTGAAACAAGCAACTAAACGCAAACGGAGCAACAAATTTTATGTTTCACAGAAATGTAGGCTGAGGCATGCATTTCCAATAGGAGCCTGGGCTGATGATATCACTCACTCAGATTGATTGTGCAGTTTATCCTGGATAGAGATTAAGGGCCCTATCATACACCTGGCGCAGTGTGGCGCAAGACGCGGCGCAATAGTCTATTGGTAGTTTCAGCTTGGCGCAAGAGCCGTTTTGAGGCGTTGCGCTACGCTGTTTAAATAGCAAATGCATTAGCGCTCATTTGTGCGCCCATAGGCGTTCAGGTCTAAAAAGGAAGGCGTTCTGAGGCAGACAGAGTTGCGCTTTGCTTACGCACTGCTTAATACCCACGAGAGAGAGCAATATGCAAATATCTTTACATATGAAAAAATGTAAATATTAAAGATATATATAGTATATAATAAGAATAGATATAGAATATAAATATAAAGGATTAAAATATTACAAAACATTATTTTCTAGCCTACATAAATATGAAAAACCACTGCTTTTATGTCTTCTTCATCTCGGGAGGCTTTTTCAGTTCATTCATAACAATTTGCTTTTGTATAATGTTATTATTATTAGCAGTATTATTTATTATATCCATATTTATATTTGTTTTATTAAAACAAGCTTAGATTTGCCCACCTGTCAGGTTTTAGACCATATGGGGCACAGCATGTGTTTAGGATATAACTCAGGTTTTTGACCACACTTCGTTATTATTGTTCATTTATTCGTTTGCTGAAATTAGAACTGAGTTTAGAAATAGTTTTGAAACGAATATTTGCGCTTAACAAACAAAAGTATTTATTTATAGACTAATTGATGTCTGTGCGTAAAGGTTTCCCTATCCAAGAGCGAAAGTGAAAGTGATCCATTATCTCTCATTCTCAGGCAGTAGATGCTCTGTTTAACAGTTTTCTGTTAAAAAAACTGTTAACTGTTAACTGTTTGCTTGTGAAATGCTAATTTTTTTCCACTTAGACTTACTTTGCGTCCTGTAAATAGCGAATGCGCTCTTGGCGCGATGCAGCTGGGTCTTAAAGGGAATGGGAGATGAGACTCTAATTGGTTTATTCTCAAAACACACCTATAACTCATTAGGAAAATAAACTCAACCCTTTTAGACCATGCGCCGCGACGCAAGGTAGATTTCCCGTCCTTAAATTAGCAAAAACGCGTCCTGATACGCCCTGAAAGCGTTTGCGCCCTGCGTTTTGCGCTCTGCGCATGGACCGTCAAAATAGAGCCCTAAGATCTGAACATGTTCTTCTCTTCTGTGTTGGTAGAGATCTGGACGGGACTGCTCAGTGTCTGAAAGGAGTGGAAAATGAGAAAGAGGAGCTTCATAATCTTTCCACACTTCTGCAGAAGTCTTTGGAGGTATCAAACACAACACTTGAAGCAATCATGAATGTGTTTGATAGGTCTAATATGAGAACGCTGAGACTGAGAGGGGTCATAGTAGCACTTTACAGTGAAGTTCTGTTTATAAATGATGAGGTTCAATTTGCCAGGACTGAAAATGTTTCTGAAAAAGCCAATAAAAAATGCTGGTGTCTCTTCAGGAGTTGTCCCAGGAGAAAAAGCGCACCCTCGAGCTGCTGCGAGAGAGGGGACAGGATGTGGCTGAAACAGGGAGTGATCGTCGGGGATCTTTAGACTCCCAGAATCCTCAGATGCAGCTTCAGGGCAACCTGCGGCAAATCGAGGAGCAGATGAGGAGCCTGCTGAAAGAGAAAGAGCAAGCAGAAGAGAGGTGAGATGATCTGATTAAGAAGAGCATTTCATATTAAATGCTTATTTTCAGATTTAGACTTCTGGGATTTAAGTGATAGTTCACTTACATCATTTACTTTCCATCTACCTGTTAAAAACATAATATGATAATATAATATAAAAATAGATTTTTTTGCTGTCATATATATATACAGTTGAAGTCCGATTTATTAGCCCCCCTTAGAATTTTTTTGTCTTTTTAAAATATTTCCTAAATGATGATTAATGCTGTGTTCACACCAGACGTGGATGGAGCGTCAAGCACGAGTGATTTACATGTTAAGTCAATGCATATGCGCGAATAGATATCCTGCGGCGTGAATGGTGAGGCGCGAATGGCGAAAAGCTGGATGCACCTCTTAAAGGATCGAGTAGACTCAGACACGGCCCTAAACGTATCGATGCTGTTTTTCAGCCTTCATAAAGCACATAAACACAGTTATTTTCTTAATAAAATCCATGTTAGCCATTTAGCAACGAAGCTAGAGTCACCAGACAGATAGAAGCCCTGCCCATCACTTGAATCCATGTCTGTCCTGAGTTGAATTTGACGCTCGAATGAAGTGGATTTTGATGCGCGAATGAAGCGAGTAAACTCAAATGTTCATGCGGCTATTTACGTGCAAATAGCGCGATTTATTTGAGCGTTCCGCATCTGGTGTGAACACAGCATAACAGAGCAGGGAAATTTTCACAGTATGTCCAATGATATTTTTTTTTCTTCTGGAGAAAGTCTTATTTGTTTTATTTCGGCTAGAATAAAAGCAGTTTTAAATTTTTTAAAACCATTTTAAGATCAAAATTATTAGCCCCTTTAAGCTATTTTTCCCCGATAGTCTACAGAACAAACCACTGTTATACAATAACTTGCCTAATTACCCTAACCTGCCTAGTTCACCCCATTAACCTATTGAAGCCTTTAAATGTCACTTAAAGCTGTATAGAAGTGTCTTGAAAAAAGTCTAGTAAAATATCATTTACTGTCGTTATGTCATCATTAAAATAAATTGTTAGAAAGTTATTAGAAATGAGTTGTGAGGCTAATAGTTCTGACTTCAACTATATATATATATATATATATATATATATATATATATATATATATATATATATATATATATATATATATCAGGGTGTCCACAGGGGTCTTAAAAAATATTAAAAGTTGATAAATCAATTATTAGAAAATGAAGGCCCTTAAATAGTATTAAACAGTCTTAGTCATGTTTCTACAAGGTCAAAGTGTTGTCCAAAGTGTTTGACTCCAAAGAAACATAAATATATTTATTTTCCTCCTAATATTAACAATGGCATGCTAGATTCGCGCATCCGGCCAAGCTTCTCCAGCTGTGTGAGGTGACATAATTTGTGACAAACGCGGTACGTGATGTGACGCTCTCCACATAGTGAAGCGAAACCATAGAGCGAAACAGATGGCACAATAAGAAAATGTAAGTTTTTGTACTCCTGGTTGGAGAAAGATGAGTTTAAACAGTGACTGTCGCTGAAAACAACCACATGATTTTTTCTTTTAAGCTTTGTTTATTTTGAGCTTATCGGAGTACTGTTGCACAGTTGTGCTTCATTCATTCATTTAAGTACAACTGTTTATTAACAATAGTTTATTAAGTTAAAGGTTTGATACTGATCAGAACTTGAAGTGTTGACAAGGTCTTAAAATATTTTGAAAAAATCTTTAAAAAGTCTTAAAAAGGTATTGCCGTTGCCTTTAGGATCCCTGCATATACCCTGTATATACAGTTGAAGTCAGAATTATTAGCCCCCGTTTATTTTTTTCCCAATTTATGTTTTACAAACTTTTATTTTATCTTTGCCATGATGACAGTAAATAAAATATGACTAGATATTTTTCAAGACACTTCTATACAGCTTAAAGTGACATTTAAAGGCTTAACTAGGTTAATTAGGTTAACTAGGCAGGTTAGGGTAATTAGGCAAGTTATTGTATAACGATGGTTTGTTCTGTAGACTATCGAAAGAAAATATAGCTTCAAGGGGCTAATAATTTTGACTTTAAAATGAACTTCTTTTGTTCTAGCCGAAGTAAAACAAATCAGACTTTCTCTAGAGGAAAAATATCATACAAATCAGACATACTGTGAAAATTTCCCTGCCCTGTTAAACATCATTTGGGAAATATTTAAAAAATAGAAAAAAATCAAAGGGGCTAATAATTCTGACTTCAACTGTACATATTATTTGGAACCACTTGTGAACACAGTTTGTCCAGGACAGGAAGTGCATTAGTGACAATGGAAATGTACATTGATCCCTAAATAAGCCAGTCTATTGATTAGATGTGAGTGAAGCAGAAAACAAAAAGAGTGGATTGACTAGTGGGGCTAAATGACCTCAAAATAAGGATTTATATAAATGTGACTGTGCTGTTCGGTCCATTATGCATGACACAACACGATTTTCAATTACAACCTGATCAAATCTAATTGATTTTTTTTTCTTACTTTGTTAAAAATAAATCTTATATCATCACCATACTGACACAGAGGAACATTTTTTAAATAGGTAACACACAGTATATTAGTGAACACATTGATTGATAAATGCTTAATAATATTATCAAGGATTTATTTTCCTATCGGCTGATACAAAATGATTTAGGAGGTTTTTGTTTATGAAGTTACCGAAAAAAATAGTAGTGGTATATTTTGCATTTGAATTGTAAATGGGTTCACACATTGGATGATATGCTTAGTGCTACATACTTTAAAAAAAACTATATATATATATATATATATATATGAGCAATATCACACGAGTAGCTGTGCGATATGGCTGTATATCAGCACTGGTGGGAGGTGTGCGTTGGCATGAGGCCGTAATCCGAGCAGTCCCACCAGTGCTGATATACAGCCATATCGCACTGCTACGAGTCTGATATTGCATTTATATAACAGTTCAACGGCACAATTGTGTATATAAATAAGAAAATCAAACACGAAGAGTCTAAAAACCCTCTTTTTTTTATTAGGAACTACTTTCTTCCGCCATTCATTCACATCTGCAGCTGACGTCAAAACAGCTGAAGCCGTTACTAATTCACCAACGTCACTTTAGAGCTAGTGTTTGAATGACTCTATGTCTAAACTGATGACAAAACTGCTGATTTTGCTCACATTTTAAGATTATAAGGCTGAACATGACATGAAATGCCATCCATCTACAGAGATATCTTTTTACAGTGTTACAGTTTACAGTATTTCTCTGTTGCAAACAGGATTTCACAATAATGAACCCCGAAAACAACAACAAATCCACTTACGTTACCAGACTGCTGTTGTGTTTGCAATAAGGAAAAACGCTAAACACATGCGGACTTTGCCTATTTCAATCTGCTAGGTGTTCGGATTGCTCCAGGGAGGGGTTGAGAACAGGGTGCAGCGGGTTTTGGGCGGCCGATGCGATCGGTTACTGTACCAAAGTTGAAAAACGGAAATGTTGGCAGGTGTGCTTACCAGTTTAATATTGGTTTGATCTGCTGTAGTTAGAAATCAGACTGTTAAGCTTCTAAGTGTAAGAGCTTATTATGAAGTTCTGTCGCCACCTTGTGGATAGAAAGCATCAGCTGTCCCTGACGAGCTCTCTCAGAAATTGTAAATATTTTAAAATAGGCACTATTCTTGCAAATGAACTTGCAATCTAAACAACTATATTACATTATATACATATTTTGTTGTCTAACTGCAGTAATATTTGTCAAACTGTGGTGTCTGCTTGTTGCTGGCTGTATGTGGGTGGAGTGATACATAAAGGGCAAAGAGGCTGTTCGGGTGCTGATATTACTTAAATATATCACGGCTATCAGCCAATCAGATTCAAGAACCAATATATATATATATATATATATATATATATACAATTGAAGTCAGAATTATTACCCCCCCCTGTTTATTTTTTTCCACAATTTCTGTTTAATGTAGAGAATATTTTTTAGCACATTTCTAAATATAATAGTTTTAATAACTCATCTCTAAAACCGGGTTATTTTATCTTTGCCATGATGACAGTAAATAATATTTGATTAGATATTCTTCAAGACACTTCTATACAGCTTAAAGTGACATTAAAAGGCTTAACTAGGTTAATTAGGTTAACTAGACAGGTTAGTGTAAATAGGCAAGTTATTGTATAACGATGGTTTGTTCCGTAGACTATCGAAAAAGGGCTAATAATTTCGTCCCTAAAATGGTTTTCAAAAAATTATTTTTTAAACAATAATCTGGACAAACTAAAGACATTTTGCAAACGTTTACCCATTGCACAACCCCCAAAAATTAGAAAAAAGAAGAGAAAGGCAGGGAGAATGATAGCTAAAAAGCATAAATAAATATTCATTTAGAATCACGGATGACTTATTTAAGCGCAATAGCCTAAATAAATGTAATAAAATAATAATATTAATAATCATAAAAATAATAATAATTAAACAATGAAAATATATAGCCTTTCCCAATCCTGACATAGCTGCGTTTTTAAAACAGCGCAAACAATTCATAGTCTAATAACCCCTTATGGTTATGTTATATTAGTCGGCTCTGTATGAATAACTGAAGACGCTCCTTTAATGCATTCGCTCGTTATGTTAAATTATTTTAGATTACACCTCCCATTCATGGCCAACCTTAAATCATACCTGAACACTCTAACAGTTCCAAGTAAACTGTTTTGTGTGGCATTCTCATAAAATCTCTCTGGTTTTGCATATCTTTGTTCTTAATTGTTTTTAGCCCTGGCAATGATGTTCATCTATTTTGTATTATTATAATATGTCCTCTCTGGTTTCTCTTACGTTTATATTCTTTAGCTGTCAATATAATACTTAGTTAATAAAGATAGAGCATGTGTAACATCATATTCATCAAAAGATATGTGAATGTAACGCCACCGGTCTGAGCTGGGCACGATACCGGCATGGGAGACAAATGCAATGAGGAGGCTAAAGATTGCAGAACAATGTCTGTCGCTGGATCAGAGGAGTGAGGTTTCCGCGATCACCAGCTGGCTTCCGTTACATATGGGGAAATATAAATGACCAAAACATCATTTACTCATTTT